GCCCCGCGCCCCCCCGGCGCCGCCGCCCCCCGGCCGGGACGCGAGTCCCCCTCCTCACACAGGAGCCGCCGCCGCCATTTTGAACCCGTCAGAGCCTCACATACACACCGACGCCGCGCGCACGCGCCGCACGCACAGCGGCCCCCCCTTGCTGCCGCCCCCCCCGCGCGCATGCGCCGTGCGCCCCCACGGCCCCGCCCCGCCTCGCGCGTGCGCGGTTCCGCGGTGGCCACGCCCCGTCTCCGGTTGTCACGCCCCCTTCCCCCGGTGGCCACGCCCCCGGTGGCCACGCCTCTGGTGGCCACGCCTCTGGTGGGGGAGCCGGAGGGGGAGGGGCCCGCAGGGAACGGACGGTGGGATTTTGGCGGGGGGAGGGGGTCGTGGCCCGTCACGCCCTGCTCGTGGGGTCCCTCGGTGTCCTCACACCTGTGCACACCTGTACGGGGGTCTGCGTGCAGAGATGCGGGCACATACGTGTATCTGCATGTAACTGCATACAACTACGTACAGCTATACACGTACATATCTACATACAATCTACATACAACTGCTTAGGTATAGGCTACAGATACTAAGAATATAGTTATAATATATATATAGTTATATTATAATATGTATAGTTATAAGCTAACAAAATACAGTTCTATCTCCGGTTATAATTATATATATAATAAATATAATTATGTAGATAGTTATAAACTACATGTATATAGGTATAGTTACATATATATAGTTATGAACTATGTATATTAACTATATATGGTTATAACTATGGTTATATAGTTATATATATCGTTATAACTAGAGTTATATATAGTTACAGATATATAGTTATATATATAGTTATAAGCTAACAATATGCAGTTATACATTCAGTTACAGTTATATATAATAAATATAGTTATATGGATAGTTATAAAGTAACTACATATAGGGATAATATATATATAGTGTATATATATCTCTAATATATATACTACATATATTTTATAACTATATTACGTAGTTATAAACTATATATATTAATTATATATAGTTATATATAGTTATAACTGCATATAGTTAATATATATAGTTATAAGCTAACAATATATACTTGTAGTTATATATACAGTTATATACATAATATAGTTATAAACTATGTATAGTTATAGTTGCATATACTATATATATAAACTATATGTTAACTATATATACTTATAACTATATATAGTTACTTATAAACTAACTCTAACCCAACAATATAGTTATAAGCTATATATAGTTCTAATTATATATATATATGTAGTTACAAACTATATACAGTTCTAGTTATATCTATATAATAAATATAGGTATACAAAGAGTTTAAAAGTAACTACATAGAGGTATAGTTACAAGTGTAATATATATATTTATAAACTTAACTATATTTACAAATAGAAAATATATAAAATGCAGGCATGTAAACAGTGCAGGTGCAGCACACACGTGCACACATGTATAATATATGCACACACATGTACACACTTATATACGTGCAGCACACACCTGTACACACCTGTACACACACTCACACTCGCCTCAGCCCAAAATCGGCAGGTAACCCCTTTTCAGAGGCCACCCATCTGTCCCAGATCCATGGTGGGACCCATGTCCCCATCTCCCACCCTGTGCCCTTGTCTCCCACGCTGTGTCCTTGTCTCCCACCCCATGTCCTTTTCTCCCACCCCGTGTCCCAAATGTCCCCGTGTCTCTGGAGCACACCCCGTGTCCCCAATGCCCACCCCATGTCACCAGTGCCTGCCCCATATTCCCGACACCCACCCCTTGTTCCTGTCTCCCACCCCGTGTCCCGACGCCCAGGCCATGCCAGGGCTGCTCCTGCCGAAGGGACCGTGTCACGCTGACAGCTGACAAGTGTTGTGTCACTTTAATGGCAGAAGTGTCCCGCGGTCACCACCCGGTGTCACTCCCCGCGCTGGCCTGCCAGGGGGAAGGGGAATTCCCCACATCAGTTCTCTGCTCCCAGAACCTGGCTGGTGAGGATGCTCAGATGCTGGGATTCCTAGTGGGACTGGGACAGGACGCTGGGATTCCTGGTTGGACAGGGACAGGACGCTGGGATCCATGCTGGGACAGGGACAGGACATGGGGATCCCTGGTGGGAGAGGGCACCGTGTTCCCTGATAGGCCAGGGACAAGACACTGGGATCCCTGGTGGGACAGGGATGGGATGATGGAATCCCCAGTGGGACAGAGACAGGATGCTGGGGTCCAAGTGGGACAGGGCACTGGGATCTGCGGTGGGACAGGACACTGGGATCCCTGCTGGGACAGGACACGGGGATCCCTGCTGGGACAGGACATGGGGATCCCTGCTGGGACAAGACACTGAGATCCAGGTGGGGCACTTTCTTCATGCCAGGGGGACACTTTCCTGCTGGCACCCCATGGTGACAGGCAGTGCCAGCCCGGGACAGGAGGGTGGCCACGGTGGCGGCGGAATTCCGGAGGTGTCAGCAGAGGTGTGGCAGCAGCCGGGAGCCGCAGTGTGGTCGGAGCTGGGGACAGCAGCAGATCCCAGGGGTCGTGCGGTGCCGGAGGGCTCAGAGGAGCACGCAGCCCCTCCAGGCTCTCCTCCCGCGCTGTCTCCGGCGGGTGACACTCATGGCAGCACTGCTGGCTGCCACAAAGATGTTCCCGACGTTCTCCTGGTACCTGGCCGAGCACTCCATGTAGGACACGGCGCGGACCTGCCGGGCCATGGCCTCTCCCTGCGGGGAGACACAGAGTCAGATCCCCCAGAGGACCCCGGGTGCCCCACTGCCCCCCCATCCCGTCGGAGGGTGGCAGTCACCTGCTGGCGGGAAATGGGCTCCATCCGCCCATCCCGCAGCTTCCGCAGCGTCCCCTCGTCCTGCCGCAGGTCCGTCTTGCAGCCCACAAGCAGCACCGGGACCCCCTTGCAGAAGTGATTCACCTCCGGGTACCACTGCAGCGGGGACATGTCAGCCAGGGATGGGGACAGGGGACAGGGGCAGAGGGGGACACATCACCCAGAGATGGGGACAGGGGATGGGCACAGAGAGGAACATGTCACCCAGGGATGGGGAAACAGGATGGGCATAGAGGGGGACGTCACCCAGGGATAGGCACAGGGGTGGGCACAGAGGGGGACACGTCACCCAGAGTTTGGGACAGGGGATGGGCACAGAGGGGAATATGTCAGCCAGGGATAGGGACAGGGGACAGGGGCAGAGGGGGACATGTCACTCAGGGATTAGGACACAGGACTAGTGTGGAGGGGAGCAGGTGATCCAGGGATGGGGACAGGGGATAGGCATAGAGCGGGACATCTCATGCAGGGATGGGGACAGGATGGGGACAGGATGACCACAGAGGGGGGCATCTCACCCAGGGACACGCACAGGGGACCGTCACAGAGGGGGACATGTCACCCAGGGATAGGGAGAGGGGACGGGCACAGAGGGGACATGTCACACAGGGATAGGGACAGGCAGCAGCCCCAGCAGCCCCCGTGATGTGTCACCTTTGTTAGGATGTTGTCGAAGCTGTTGGGGTCGGTGACATCAAAGCATATGAGGACAACGCTGGCATCTGAGTAGGACAGTGGCCGAAGCCTGTCATAGTCTTCCTGTCCTGCCGGACCGAGGAGCGGACCATTATACACCAGTTCCTTACTGGACTGGGTCCCCCCTCCTCCGCCGTGGTCCCTCCCCCCTCCCCCGAGGCTGGGACCACGGGAGTGACATCTTCTGTTAACTCCTCCTCTCCCATGGTCATTGCATGGGGACACCCCGTCCAAGGCACGACCCAAGGGTGTGGGACACAACAAAACTCCTGGATGGGAGGGTGAGGGGCACAACTGCCCGCCCTGTCCCGTCCTGTCCCACCTGCTGTGTCCCAGAGGTGGATCGTCACGGGCTTTCCGGCAACCTGGAGGGATGCCGTGTACTTCTCGAACACGGTGGGGACGTAGACCTGGCAGGGGACAGGGAGGGTGTGAGACAGGTCCCACAGGTAGCGGTGGGGGGCATCCCATGGGGACACGGCAGGGCACGGGGAGGTACCCCGGAGAAGGAAACAGGGGGCAGGAGATGGTGGTGCCTCGCCTGCGCAGGTGGGGGGTGGGACCGTCCTTGTCCCCCATCCCAGGGCACTGCTGAACCTCACGCATGTCCCAGTGGGACTCGGCGATCCAGACAGACGTTCTGGGGGCTTCGTAGCTGCTCCCCCCTCCACTCATTCCCCGAGTCCCGTCGGTGCCGTCACTGAGGGACAAACTCTGCTCCCTATCCCGTGACCCCTCAGCTGAGGCAGACGTGCCCACTCACCCACCAAGGGGGGGCTGCCGCAGACCCCCATCAGCCCCAGGCTGGGCCACTCCTTCCCCAGTCCCCCGCCGTCCCCATGTCCCACTGCAAATGTCCCCGCTGCTGCCACCGCGTCCCTCACATCCCGCGTCCACCGCCCTCTGCCCCTGTCGCCGCTCCCGCACGGGGACAGCCCCCCTCCCCCCACCAGTGTGTCCCGCCGGGGCTGGGACAGGGCACAGGGAGCCCGGTACCTTGGGGAAGTCCCCCCTGGCGAAGGCCACCAGCAGCGACGTCTTCCCGCAGCCCCCGTCCCCCACGACGACAGCCTTGACCTCGGTTTCGGGGGCTCCTGGGCTCTGCCCCCCGCGCTCCCGCTGCATGGGGGTGTCCAGTGGGGCCGTGGAGCCTGCCTGGCCTCGGCGGAGACAGGGATGGGGACGGGGCGGTGGGAAGCACCCGCCCGGTCCAGGGCGCGGCCGTCACCCGCCCGTCGGGCCCGCCCGCGGCGCCGCTCGGGGCTGGGGCCGTGGAGGTGACAGAGGCAGGGACACGCGTGTGGGTGTCCCCGCGCACCTCGCATGACCTTCACCCGGCAGGAGGGGCACACGCTTCCCACCTCCACGTCCCTCCTGCGTGTGCAACTCCCCCTCACACACCTGCCTGTGCACACACGTGGCTGCCTCTTGCACACGCAGGGACACGTGTGACCCGTGTGACCCCATCCCACGGGTGACCCCATCCCACACGTGCAGCCCCTGTGCTGGCCCAGCTCCTCCTCGCACGCTCCATGCAGGTTCTCTTGCACACTCGTGCTTGCACACCCTGCATTCCTGTGCCTGTGTGTGCAAACACACCCCTGTGCCCTCCCTGACGCCCCATTCCCACCCCGAGCCTGGGTTTTATTGCCCTGAGCATCCACAGGAGACAAAGTCCAGGGGTGGAGGGAGGCACGAGGGGGGGTGACTCACTGCTACGTCCCTGCCACCAGTGCCACCCCTGACGTCACACCAGTGCCTTGCCACGGCGAGCCATGCCCTGCCAGCAATCCCTGGTGCCCAGCTCAGCACCAGAGGTTGAGGGGGGCATCCCCCAGCCCCCCATCTTTTCCTGGTGACCCCAACACACCGGTAGGGACAGGCCATGACACCCCACTTTACTTGGGGATATCCCAAACCAGCACGGATGGTGCTGGGGGTGGCCCCACTGACCACTCTGTATTACCCACAGCAGACCTTGCCCACCCTCCTGGGATGGGGACTCCCTGGTGCTGCTTGGGGGGCTCAGAGGGTGCCTGGACATGAGGGTTTGGGGACATAGGGTGGTCTCTGGGGAGCCCCATGTGGTGTCCATTCCTGCCAGCTCCCCAGCCCTGTGGTGGGTGCCCCAGGTGAGCCCCTTGGGGGTATCAGCAGTCCTGGCAGCAATTAGCTGGTTTAATGAGCCAAAAAAAGTAGCTTTCTGCCCTTGCTGGCAGAGCAGAGGGCGCCTGGCACTTGGGGTGCTTTGTCCAGCCTCTGGCATGTCCCCCCACCGGCATAAGGGGTTCAGTGGCTGAAGGGGACATGGGGCAGCCAGTGCTGCTTTGAGGAGGAAGGAGAGATCATGTCCCCCCACACCCCTGCTTGGAGGCCCCCAAGACCACCTCCCCTCCAGTCAGTGCCCTCTTCTGCCACCCCAAAACCCTGTGGGAGTAAATGGGTGCTTCTGGTCTAGGGGTGCAGAAAGGGATGGGGAATCACATGTGTGGTTCCCTGACATTCCTGCAGCCCTGTAGCTCCTCTGCCACCAGGCCCTCTGGGCTCAGTGGGTACCAGTCAGTCCAGGAGAGCTCTGGAGCCCCCAGACCAGTTGGGGTGAGTCCAAACTGATGGCTGGAGCACCAAATTCCAAATTCTCTCACCCAGGCCTGACGCAGGATGAAGTTGGAGGAAACACAGCAGGAATTCTTATGCCAGGAGGCTGGAAAGCAAATGCACGCAGTAATGAACAATCTCAGAAGGATGCCAGCATTGGGGCAGGATGGGGAGAGGAGACTGGAGCACCACAAAACAATTAGGAAGGTGGTAATTACCAGTCTAATGAGACATCAGGTGGAATCCTAAAAGCATCAAGATTCTTTCACAGCAAGATCTAACTGCTGCAGTGTTCGTCCTCTGGGGTATTCGCTCGGACAAAACATTTCCTTTCCCGCAAGACCAACAGAAATTTGACGGGAGAAGAGACAGCCTGTGTGCAACTGCCCAGTGCTCTCACTGCCTGACCTGTGATTGTGCAGAAACGCCCCCAAAAGCAGCTTTATTTGGGGAGAGACGGGCTGCTTGGAGCTTCTGAGGACGTGGAGACCCCACACCTCCTCATCGGAGAAGATTGTGGCAAGGAGAGCTCAGACGCACAGGCAGGTCAGCTCTGGGCTGCTGCAGGGAAAGGGAAGGGGTCGGGACCAGAGTCCAGCCCTGGGGGTGTCTCCTTAGATCTCCCCACAGCCCCCTCACTGCTCTCATGGGTGTCCTTAATTGGGGGGGAGGGGAGCCCCTCCAACCCTCCCTCCACCCTCACCCCCAGCCCTCCTATCGCCCTGTCCCCAGTCCTGCTTTGCCACATCACCAGGACCCCTGTCTCTGTCACATCCCTTGGGGTCCCACTAACTCCCTGTCTGCTCTGACCACAGCCAGGGACCACGTCCCACCTTCCACCATGGAGCTGAATCAGACATCCCCACCTCCCACATCTCCCGTGACGGACACCGAAGAAGACAACCAGTGCTGGATAGATGTCACCGACATGGCCATAGATGGTGTCACCCTGCTCATTGGCCTCTGTGGGCTGGTGGGGAATGGGGCTGTCCTCTGGCTCCTCGGCTTCCACATCCGCAGGAACCCCAGCACCGTCTACATCCTCAACCTGGCTGTAGCTGATTTCACCTTCCTCCTCTTCGTCGTCACCTCATCCCTCCTCTACATGGTGGACAATGCCTCCTGCTCCGGTGTCGTGTCCCTGAGGTACCTGAGGTCGTTCTTCCTGCTGTCACTGTTCTCCCACAACATGGGGTTGTACCTGC